ATGAAGGATTATCTGAAGTAAATGAAGATAATCTTGCATATGTTTCTAGAAGAAGGAAAGTTAGTGATTTTAATGTCACAAGTAATTCTGTTATTCAGGTATCAGCTTTGTTGGGTCGTATCCCATCAGCTGTAGGTTACCAGCCAACACTAGCCACTGACATGGGTACTATGCAGGAAAGAATTACAACAACAAAGAAAGGTTCCATCACATCAGTACAGGTAAATGTTTATACAGCTGTATTAAATGTTATTGTTGACATAAGATTGATTTAATTACTTTGTCCGTCTGTCAGACAGTGCTGGTAATGGTATTCAAGGTACGTGATTGAACTAGAATAATGCAGTTGATACTTGATAAAAAAAATAGCATGTCAAATAATTTGTTGCTCCGTAAATAAAATGAAGAAAAAAGTATTCATATCTTCCTTTAAGTTAACAGCTGTATCTCTGCTACCAAAAACATCCATGTTTTATTTTTGAAACAAAACAACTTAAAAATGCCATTATATTTTATTCGGGTTATGCACAATAAAGTCATCTAAAAAGTAATTCTAAAACTTTATCAATATGATAAATGCAAAAGAATAAAAGTTAACCATCTTCTCTGAAAACATTTGACAATTTAAGTTAAGCTTGTTTGTAAAAGTTATTATACAGAACAACAAAAACAAATATGTTTTCATCAGTTTAAGATTAGGCAGTAATCCATGTTATATTAAATGTAAAGTTTGGTTTCCTTACTTTAGGCTATCTATGTGCCAGCTGACGATTTGACAGATCCTGCCCCAGCCACCACATTCGCTCACTTGGACGCCACAACTGTATTGTCTCGTGGTGTTGCCGAGTTGGGTTTCTACCCAGCTGTAGATCCCCTTGACTCCACCTCTCGTATCTTGGACAGAAATGTGGTAGGAGAAGAACATTACGGTGTAGCTCGTGATGTACAAAAGGTTTTACAGGTAAAGAAAAACTATTTTTTTATAGCTTTATTATCAAATTGACCAGGGTTTTTTTCACAGGTTGGGGAGGCAGTCCTGTCCTTAATTTTGGGGGGAAAGTACAGGGTAAATTTGTAAAAGGGGAAGAAAAAACTTAAAATGTTTTTTTGGTGGGGATGGGGGGAAACTGCATGATTGATTTTAAAGAATGTTTCTTTGGGGAAGCAGCCCTATAATGGCCCCCGCTATAGAAGGAAAAGAAGCCCTGAGTTGATTGAGCTTGGTTAAATAATAAAATACTATGCAGTATGCTTGCCTGGGGCTTGCATGATATATAATTATATTCCAACCTGTTAAATAAATTCAATATTGAACCTTCACTCGTGTAATATCCTATAAATGTAGCTGTATTGTGGTTAAGTTACACTTTATTGACCAAAAATAGTGGAAGAGGGTTGGATTGGTGTGAACAGCAAGTAAGCAACTTGGTAACTTTGTAAAAGGGAAATTCGTTTTTCAGGGATTTAATTGAATGTTTTATTGGTAAATAAAAATATAGAATTTTTACTGTGAAATTAGAAAATATGAGGAGCCAGGATAATAGTTTCAATATCGTAAAACAGTAAACATTCCGCAAACACTAAACACTGTAAAAATTCTGTATACTTTTTTTACCAATAAAACATTTAATTAAATCCCTGAAAAACGAAGAATGTTAACTGTTTTATGATATTGAAACTATTATACTTTGGGTATTCGTGGCCTAGTGGATAAGGATAAAAGAATTGATAAACTATTACCATTGGATGTACAGGACCTTTAACGGACTGTTTCAGTCTGTAAATAAGTAATGCAGTTTAGATGTTAGTAATGCTGTAAGATTGAATAGTTGATAAAATGTAGAATGTTTGAAATGATAGAAGTTATTATGAATGATTTCAGGACTACAAATCACTACAAGATATCATTGCTATCTTGGGTATGGATGAATTGTCTGAGGAAGATAAATTGACAGTAGCCAGAGCACGTAAAATGCAGAGATTCCTCTCCCAACCTTTCCAGGTGGCCGAGGTCTTCACAGGCTCCGAGGGCAAATATGTACCACTCAAAGAAACCATCGTAGGATTCCAGAAGATCTTAGGAGGTATGATGATAATTTCCTCTTTTTAACTGTTAACCTTTTGATTTGTCTAAATTATTTGCCCTGCTTTGAATTAGGACCAGGCTATTTAAAATGTAAGGATTTTAATATCAAAAATCTCAAATTTAGCATGAACTGTATAGAGCTTGATAAAACTGAACTATGGGTGGCAACGGCTTATCTCTAAAGCATGTTAACAACAATGAACCTGCGTCGGGTTCATAAGCATCAATTGTTTTGGTTTCATTGGGTGAGCAAACTGTCAAAGTGTTTGACAGATGACTATACTTGGATATTGAAAGGTTTTCCACCTTTGGTAAAGGAAGAAAGTTGACATTCACAATATCCATTAAATCCAAAAAGAAAACAAGACTTGTGTACCACCCAGTCTGGTTGAATAATAGTTGGATTGTTCAGCCCACCCCCTTTTTTTAATGGAGAGCTTAAAAGAACGGGTTAGTACTAGAATATAATCGGGAAGAACTGTATGACTCAGTCACTATGACACAATGCTTTTGTATTAGTTTCAACCTTTGTTAATTTTGCTGGAATTATCATAAAGTCAACCCTTCTAAATAAAAGTTTAAAGTATAAGCAATTTTTCATCCTTATGGCTCACGGGTTGTCTTTAAGGGTTGTGGCAACAGAATTGCAGTCACAAAGTATCCCTGCGTGATCGTAAGAGGTGCCTAAATGGGTTTGAATTGCTCGGAGGCTATACATCTCTTGGCTCTAGCAGGTGAGGTGGTTTTGACCCCTACTGTTGCTTTAAATTTGCATCACCCAAGGTTATCCAAAATTACCTTTCCTGTTTCGGCACCATACAACCTAAATTGTGTTGGTGCGCCGGTCAACCAAACAAAAAAATATTACCGATTTATTTTTGCATTCTTTAAAGTTTTGTTCCATGGAGATTTTTCTTTCTTTTCAGGTGAATTGGATCATGTACCAGAAGTTGCTTTCTACATGGTAGGAAATATTGAAGAAGTCTTACAGAAAGCCGACAGACTTGCTGACGAGAAGAAGTGATCATAAGACATTAACTAGAAATTATGTGCTATTATATTTCAACATACTAGGTTTAAAATAAACACTTTGTTTTGATGAAAGATAACTTATTGAAAGTGATATTTGAAATTACTCTTGGGAGTTGTTTTGTATAATTAGTTCTAGCCACACAGCATGGGTATGTATATCAAAGAATGGGACCCCTCGAGAACAATTCTGAACAACAGTTTATAGTGTTTTAAGTGTGCATGTTGGAAAATATCTTGTGCTAGTGGTGATGAATTAAAAAAAATATAAAAAACAATTCCTTTTGTTTGCCTTTTGATTCAATTATTGTAGGGTCATTGACTCAACGCACCGACTATTAATGTCATTTGGTGATTAAGGCCAGCCTAAGCCCAAATCCACAAAAAAACTTCTGGATGCCCTTCAGTGCATTTATTATTACATTTCTTAATACATGTACTTAGTTCCAATTTTGAAAGAAGATTAGGTAGGAAGGTTGTTTAATCTGCTAGGCAATGAATTGTTGATATAGTTCTATTTGACAAAATATCTTTAATTTTACACCACCAAGGAGGGGAGTCATGTATTGTTAATCTTTTGCATGTGTGTTCCTAAAAGTACATATTTCATGTTCTATTTGTAACTTCTGCATGCACAATATGATTTCAAAATGAATTCCAGCTCATGTCCGTTAGTATAAGGGATATCGAACTTTGTGTATCTGTCATAAAGTGAAGTACTGTCAAAGTTTGATTCCAATCCATGACTTCTTGATGCGATATTGGGTTCCAAAATAAATTTGTACACATAAACGACATACACGGGTGTTGTTTTTGTTGCTAAAATGTTGAGGTAACATGTATTTATTACAAAACCCTAATGGGAATCGGGGTTTGGGGGTTGCCCCTTGTCTTCTGCTTAACAAGGGAAAATTCAAAAAAAATTTTTTAAACCCTTAAAGACAACAAAAAACTTGGGGCCCTTTTCAACCCAAAAAAATTTAAATGAAACCAGGAAAAGTAAAAAGTTTTAATCCCGTTCCCTTATAACCTGACCCACAGAAAGGGTTTCATTTTGAAAAAAATCAGGTCACGTAAGGATTAAATTTTCGCAAATTTGTTTTTGTGTGTTGTTTGGTTGTGTCCGGCCCAAAAATTCTGAATGTGTAAATGAAATTTTCAAAATAACTAGGTGGATAAGAAAAACCCAAAATTCAGTAGACATTTTGTCTTGCAAGTCCCTGGGTGTGGGTTAAAAAGTACAGCATTGGACATTTTTGGGTTTTGTTATGTATACTAAATAAAGTTAATGTCTAGGCCACACCTACTGCATGCATAAAACACTGGTACGCTTTATTATAAGAAGTGGCGTTGCGCCCTTAGCTTTAAGGTCCTGGCCACAGCCGGGGTTTTAACTTGCTTTATTTCTCATGTAGTCTAAAGTGTGTGTTATTTCTACATGAATGATGTTTTGGGTATTAAAAAAATGGTAAACATGATCACCCTAAGTAGAACCATTTGTTGTGCGAAAGACGCACGTCATCACCTTCAATGTCTATATAGTACTTTGACGGTAAATTATAACTGTCATAACTTTGTTGATAGTCATATTTTTGCATATTTGTTCACCACTAAAATTTATAGCGTGCAAGAATCATGTCAACACCTTTAAGACCAGGCCGGCCAGGCCAAAAGTCAAATCGTGTTTGTCTTTAATTGTTTAATTGTTTTAACACCTATTTCATTTATTTTTTCCCAAACAGTCGGACGAATATCTTGTGCAAGACAAAAGTTTAACCTTAAAGGTCAATGATGCAACTGAAGTAGTTTAAATGTTTGTCTTAAAATGTTCTTATTTTTTTTGTTTGTTGCAAATTTTTGGGGGGAAATGGTTAAAAGGGGGGGGTGGTTTGGGGAAAAAAGTGTAAACCCCAATATAGGGTTGGGGCATGTGTAAAATTATTTAAAGGGATTGTCAATTTTTGGCAATGCCTTACCCTCAAAAATTTCACCCCAAAAGATAACGCCCGCACCTAGGTCGATTTTTGGAACAAAAAACCCAAATATCAAAATTTTTGTGGGGGGGTTTCCCAAAATTTTAAACCCAAAGGGCCCTTGGGAAATAAATTTAAACCTTTTTGGTGGGGGGTGGGGATAAAGGTTTAAAGGGGAAATTTGGGGATTTGGGGAAATATATTTTTTTTTCCTACTCTTAAAAAAATATCATTTTTATTTTTTAGGGGGTAACCAGCGCTTTTTCAAAAGGGTTTTGTACTGAGTGTTTTGGGGAAACCCTCAAAATTTCCGGTTTCGCCCGGGGCGGTAAGTCCCCGGGCCGGATAAATGCAATTCGCAAAACAATTTTTTTAATTTAAAACAAATTTTTGGTGGAACAAAACATATAGGTTTAACAAAATCTTATATTTTTAAAAAAAAAGTAAAAAAATTAAAAAAGATTAAATTTTTTTTTTAAAACATCTATTTAAAGGGTTACAACATTTTTTTGGGTTTTAACCCGTAAAAAAAATAGATTTAAACCCAGATTATTTTTCGCGAACCGGTTTTTTTTAAACTTTCCGGGTTTATTTTTTTAAAATTTGGGGGGGGTTTTAAAGGTATTAAAAAATACCCCTTTTTTTTCCCCCCCTTTTTTTTTTTTTTTTTTTTTTTTTTTTTTCCTTTTTTTTTTTTTTTGGTTTTTTTTTTTTTTTTTTTCCTTTTTGGGCGGGGTTCTTTTTTTTTTTTAAAGAAAATTTTGGGGGTTCCAAGGGTTTTTGGGAAGACTTTTTTTATGTGTGGTTTTTTACTAAAAGAAGCATTTAAAAAAGGTTTTTGGGAAAAAGGGTATATAACAAATTTTTTATCCCTTGGAAACCAAAGCCCCCTTAAAACTTTCCTTTGAAATTTAAGGGGGATTTCCCAAATATCATTTTAAGTAAGCAACAAACTAAAACTATTTTTTTTTTTTTTTTTAACATGATTGAACGTTCTTAAATTTGAAATTAGGGGGGTTTTAATTAAAGGGTGGATAAGGGGTTTTCCAAATCAAGTTGTAAAAAAAAAAATGAAACCGCTTTCCGCCACCCCAGGGGCACTTTGGGAAGAAATGAAAAACCCAAAAAATTTAAAATGTTTAAAGCAACAAAACATTATTCTTTTAATTTTTTTTTACTTTTTGCATGTAAAATTTATGGTTTGGGGGGTATGGGAAAAAAAAAGGGGGCAATTAAAATGGTTAAATAAATTAAATTAAGAGCTTGTTTACCAAAAACCCCATTTTTTAAATTTTTTTAACACATACATTTCTTCTTTTTATTTTTCAAAAAGTCAAAAAGGGCATTTGTTATCCAAGTTTTAAACTTAAAAAATCAGCTAAAAAATAAGGTTCCGCTAAATTGCAAAAAATTATAAATTTTGGGGTTTTTGGGAAACCACAGAAATTTTTTCCCACCACTTTTAAGGGGCCAAAAGGGGGTTTTTTTGGGGGGGGTAATTTGGGGGGCCAGGGGGTTTGGGGGGCCCAATTTTTGGGGGGAAGGGGGGGGGTTAAGGGGGTTGGGGTTTTAATACCTGGGGTTTTTTCATTTCCGGGGGGTAGAAAAATAAAAAGTTATATAGGGGCATCAATAATTTTAAAAGGGGTGGGGGAAAACCCAATTGTCGGATCAAAAAATTCCATGTCCATTATAATGTATTTTTAAAGATTTTTCTGTTTTTTTTTAAATTTAAGTTTCTGAAAAAAACCTATCTCAATAAAAAAGGCGGGCCCAGGAAACATATGTTTTAGCCCTTTAAAAGCTATACATGGTCTGAAAGTTTAAATTTTTAAAATAATTTTCCTTTTTAAATCTAAGCTTGACTAGCTTCAAAGTTCTATATGTCGAAAATTTTTAAATAAAGGGTTCCAATTCATTCTTTTTAAAGCAAAAAAGCCTTAATACAAAGCAATCCTTAAATTTTTTTAAGGTGCCCCTAAAATTTTAAAACAGATCCCAAGTTATTTTTTTATATGTGTTAGCCCTTTAAAGAAAAATTTTGGCCATTTTTTCAAACTTTTAAAAGGGGGTTTTGGGGGTTCCCTTTTTTAAAGTTCGTTTTCCCCTTTTCAATTTAAAACTGTTTAAAACCCCCAAAAAAAAAGGGGCCTTTTTGGGGGGCGGATAATTGCCCCTTTCCGTAGGTCCATGTCAGGCTCAACAAACGACCTGAAAATTTTTTAAATTTTGTTTGTTGAGCTTTTTTGGGATTTTTATTTTTTATTTAATTTCTCTTTTTTTTGCTGTTAAAAAGTGTTTTTCGGGCCTCCCAAAACTTTTTTCTTTTGGGGGAAAATGCGATTTTGGGGGGTTGTTGGATAAGGGGGGAAATTTTGGGGGCATAATATTAAAAAAACCATTTTGCAAGGGGGGTTTTAATTTGTGGTTTTTAAAATTTGTGGGGGGTATTTTTTTTTTTAAAACAGGGGGGGTTACCGGTGTCTCCCCCCCCGGAAAGGGTTTCCCAATTTTGACCCGGGGGTATGGTAAACCGGTTTTGGTAAGAAGGTTTCTTGGTCTTTGTAAACTTTTCCTATTGTGAAAATTTGGGGGGCAAGTGGTTTTTAAAAGTGGATCCAAAGCTCTCGTCACTTAGGATTGATGGTGTTAGTTTTCTCGTGCGGGGCTTTGTTTTTAATACTGTTTGTTTCCAAAGATAATGACCATTTTGGAAGGCCCAATATCAGAAAAATGGTAGTTTGTGCTGAAATTTAAAATTTCTTTTAAAAGTTATTTTTTCCAAAAAGGTTTTTTGGGGTTATTGGGAAAAACGGCAAAATGCGTAACAATTTTTTTTTTGGGTTTCTGAAATGTCAAACTTTAAAATAAAACGAGTAAAACTTTTAAATATTCACTTTTAAAAGTTTTAAATTTTATTAGGGGGGGCCCAACCTAAAATTAAAAAAGGGGGGGGGGCATTACATTTGGATTGGGGGTAATGGAAACGGGGGGGGGGGTTGGGGCCTTTTTTCGAGAGAAACGGAATTGGAACGGGGGGATGGGGCGCCTTTTACGTTAAAATTCGTAATGTATATACAGGGATAAAGGGTAAAGGAAAAGGTGGGTTTTTTATGTTGATAGGGGCCCAATGTTGAATATTTTCCCGGTTAAAATGTGGAAAATCATTTACAATAAAATTTTTAAATGAACAAAAAATATTTTTAAAAAATTTAAAAATTTGTATTTAAATAGTAAACATAAACACAAAAAATTGTAGAAATGAAAAAAGGGCTTTTTGTCAGTTTCATCAGTAAAGCCATTTTTTTAATAAGCACCCAGGGAAAATTTCTTTTACAAAAAAAGCAAAATAACCATTTATTTTCAGCAAAAATTTTATCTAATAATCTCGGACGAAAACAAAAGAAAGAACTATGGTAAAGGGGAAATATTAATGTATGAAATTAAAAACGGGAACATTAATTTTTTTTTTTTTTTTTTTCAAATGCCCTTTACGTTTTGTAACAAAACCTCCTAAGCTTTTAAATTTGGGACTAAACTTTCGGGATGGCACGAAAATTTTTCTTAAAGAAATGTTTTAAGACTTCTTTTTTGGAAAATGTTTATGAAAATGGCGTTTTTTGAGGGGAATTTATTCCCTTAGCAACGCCCCAAGAAAATTTCTCTGTATTTTTAAAAGTTTCAAAAAAATGACAAAAACAAAGCTTTTATAAGACTGATTTTTGGACGGGGGTTGGGGTTTCACTTTGGGGTTTGTCTTGGGGTGGTCATCTTTTCATAACTTTTTCGCGCAGAACAATTAAACCAAAATTAAACTGTATTAAAC